TAATAATTATATATAAAACTCAAAAATTCTTAATTTAGATAAACTAAATTTATAAAAATAAAACAATACTGATTATAAAATATTTATATTATTATCAATTATTAAAATATTAACATAATTAATTTGTTAGAACATTTGTAAAAATAGAATTAAAACATATTTAATCATTATCATTAGAAAACAATTAATATGTAAAACATTATGGTAATAAATGATGTATACAGACATTATTTTATATAAACAAAGAATAATAAAAAATTTATTATATTTATTGTTTAATAACATTATAATATAGATAATATTTATTTAATATATTTAATTATTTAAAAATTATTTACATATGTTTATTTACAATAAAATTATTTTTTAATTTAAATGTTGTAATAATGTTACAATATAGGTTGTAGATAACTATTTTGTAAATTTGCATTTTATGTCAATTTATTCTTATTATTAAAATAATAATTTATAATAACGACAAGAAATAATGACATTTATAAACAAAAATACTGCATGCTATTTTAATTATCAAATTTTGAATTCAAACTGTAATTGAAATTTAAAATACTATAAAAGTTTATTGTGCAAAAGTATATTGTTTAATAATGGCCTTTCCAGAATATGGACATTTACATTTTATTGGACATAAATAAGATAATATACTGTAGGTACTTGACTTTGAGTAAAAATATTGTTATACTTGTATTTCTCAAGTAATTTAAAGTACACCACAATACAAACATATATATAAAAACATATACATAAATTCAAATACAATTTAATACATATTTAGAAAAAACAATGTTTTAGTGTAAAATTTAATTATAATTCTTGTGCCTATTCATGTATACTTAAATAATGAAATTAAGTTAACAATTATAGCTACACTATTAATTGAACATGAGTAGTCAACAAGGTTTCTATTTGGACTAATATAAATATAATATATTTTGCTAAATTATTACAAACTATTATAATTGCTATTTATTATACAAAATAAAATTAATTATAAAAAACATATGGAAATAAAAAAATAATTATAAACGTAATAAAATGGACACTAAAAGCAATACTAAAATTACTCTAATCATAACGGTTATTGTCATTTACTTGATCAACGTAAATGTGGCCATGTTTCACGAGGATGCCAATGCGACCATGGTGAAAGACTGTGCCTCAACAATACACAGAGAGCTGAGACAATGTTTTGCCACAACTGTATTGACATATCCGACAAACTTTATCGAGGACATTTGGAATACAACAATGACCAGTAAGGCCAGCAAATCACCATGCTGCGGTTTGTGGCAATTGCTTAATTGCACCAGGTTAGAAGTAAAGGTAGAGTATTGATAGAGTTTATATCTATGTAATATAATTATGAAAACATCTATTGTGTTTTACTTATATGTATTCATCATTTATTATCTAGAATAATTGTCAGCCAAAAACATTTGAGTTTCTTGAATATCATTTTAATGAAACGACCAAGAACAGTGGATTTGATTATTGCAGCAATTATCCATACAATTATACCTGTGAGTTCAATATGACCGGCATTACAACACCGACAACAACAACAATGTTCAATGTGACAAATATAACATTGACAACAACAACACCCCCTCCGTCTACGACTAGTGGTCGTCCGATTTGGTTGTACTTGTAATAAATTAACATGCAAATTTTAAATAAATAAAAGTTTGTTGTTTATTTTTTATTTATTGTTTTATTTGTGTATTAAATATTTATAAAGTTATAATAAAAATAATTATAATATAGTGCCTTGCTAGAAAGTGTTGCTCTTGTTTATAGCCACATTTATCATAAATAATGTGGTATATACAGTATGATAGTGAGAACCGTACTTTATCGCCCTTTTTCAATAAATAGTCACATGATCATAAAATTTTTCAATGCCAAAGGCGATGCACTTTCTAGCGAGGCAGATTAGTTAATCTCGCGCCACACAAAATATTAACGGTAAATAACTATGCTAATTAAAACTGTAAACGAAAATTAAATTTGCATATTAAATAATTCTTTATAATATAATAATTATCATTGGTCATGAAAATAGGATTCATATTATTTTTGTATAATACCTTGTAATTTTAAACTATAATTCATTTAATTATTAGAAATTTATTTTTTAATTCAATATATTGATATATAAAATTAAATAAAACAATAAAATATTTTACAATAATATAAAGTTATATTTTTATAGATAAAATAGAGCCCAAATCTTATAGTCCAAATAATTAAACTAATCAATATAGTTAAATGATTAAAATTTGCTCATCAAACAAAATTATAGTTTTCAATAATTATTAATTAATATAAAATATATAATTTTTTAGGGTTAGGTGATTTATAATTAAAAATAATAAATGTTAAATTTGTTATATGTTGTACGTTACGTTTAAAACTGTTATAAATTAGTAATTAAATAAATTTTATATATTTAATTATTATAATATTATTAAGCGGTGAAGCCGAGCATGACAAATCAGCCATAGTAGTTTTGCCAACATTTAATATAATTGGGTAATATACCAACATATTTAATTTTGTTGCAACATTTGTAAAAAATAAATAAAACATATTTAGTAATTGTTATAATAAAACAATTAACATGTAAAACATTGTGCTAATATACAGACATTACTTAATTTAAACAAACTACAATAGAAAATTTATTATATTAACTTATTAAATTTATTTGTGACCATATGGTAAAAATTATTTACATGTGTTTATATATAATAAAATTAATTTTTCAAAATATAATTGTTGTAATAATTTCAATATAGGTTAAAAAACTGTTTTCGTAATTAATATTGTTAAATAAAAACTAATTTTATAGCTAAATAAATTAAATGATAAAAATAAATCTTTAATAATCATAATAATAACATACAAAAATAGCGCATGCTATATTTTGCATTGTTATATTATGAATCAGAACTGTAATTGAAATTGAAAATAGCATAAAAGTTTATTATAAAAAAGTATCTATTTAATTATTGGTTTTATAAGTATTGGTTTGTTTAGAAATCCAGTTTTAAAATTTTATTGGACATAAATTAATTTAATAATAATCATTTTGCAACTCGAATGAAAATACAAAGTAATAACATCCTTAAACAAAATTTATTAAAAATTATTCTAAAATAAACTAATAATAATATAATAAAAAAGTTGGTACAATACAACATCTACACTTCACCCCTCCTACCCTCTAATCATTTAAAAACAATCTGATTTATTATTATTTAATATTAAATATTATGTATTTAGTTTTAAAAAATATATTATATTATAATATTAAATTATATATATTTAATTATTTATATTTGTAGCACAACACATTTTTAATTGCTAATTTTAAAATTAATAATTGTTTGAATTAAAACTGTATATGAAATATAAATTAGTTTTAAAATTAATGGATAAATATTTTTATATTTAAAAATGGAGCAAACGCATTCAAAGTTTGAAATAATTAATGCAAATAAATTTATAATATAATAATTAAATATTTTTTGAAACATTATATTTAAAATTATTATTTTAGAACAAAATTTTTAATTATTCTTAATTTAAAAATTAGTACAAGTGAATAATATAACAACAAAAATTATTATATCTATTAGAATTTTATATTATACAAAATTAATTAACAATATAAATATAATAAAGTTACATTATAATAAAACATATTAACACAATACATTTATTTATAGTAACAGGTGTAAATAGATAACTATACCGCTCATTTAATATTATTATGATATAGTATTTGTATTATAAAACTAATTAATTTACAACTATTGAATATAAATGTTAATAAAGCCTTACAAATTACTAATAATATATAATTCATAAACGACTAATAATGAAACCATTATTTTCAATAGTAATTATATCAACATGTATATTATTAAGCAATTTTATTATTAATACCAATGGGGTAGTTCGTATAAAATTGCACAAATTCAGATCAGCCAGATCACACATGCGAGAAAATGGTATTACCCTCAACGATATTGTAAACAAACATGATAATAAATTAGGTATAAAGCCATATCACAAACCACACATGGTCATACCGGTGTCACTCAAAAATTATTTGGACACTGAATACTACGGACTCATATCACTGGGAACTCCGGCGCAAAATTTCAAAGTATTATAACACTTTACCATAATTAAATATTTAATTAATAATTACAAATATCAATTATAATACAAATAATTAATTTTTATGAAACTGATCTAGGTTCTATTTGATACGGGCAGCGCAAACCTATGGGTGCCCTCACCATCGTGTTTATCGTACGCCTGTCTTATTCACCGCAAATACAAATCACGCCAATCGTCAACATATGTGGCCAATGGCACGGCGTTTGCCATACAGTACGACACGGGTAGTGCCGTAGGATTTTTGAGCACCGATACCCTAACCATCGGGTCAGTCAAAGTAGTCAACCAGACGTTTGCCGAGACAACTCAAGAGTCGAGCACTACGTTTGTGTTCGCGCAGTTTGACGGTATACTAGGGCTGGCTTTTCAGCAAGATGCCATCGACCAGGTGGTGCCACCATTTTACAATATGCTGGCGCAGGGATTGCTGGCCAAATCCGTGTTCTCGGTCTATCTGAACCGTAACACTACCAGTGGTCAGATTGGGGGTGAAGTGCTATTTGGTGGCATAGACCCGGCCCACTATACAGGTAACATTGCGTACGTGCCTGTTACCCGACAGATCTATTGGCAATTCACCATGGCCTCGGTACAGGTAGGCAATGACCAGGGTAGTACATTTTGTCAAAATGGTTGCCAAGCGGTGGCCGACACGGGCACCTCGTTGATTGTTGGCCCCACCGATGAGATCGATGCTATTAATAAACTGCTCGGCGCTGAAGATATTGGTAGCGGTGAATATAGCGTTGACTGTACTAATGTGACCGCATTGCCGACCATAACGTTTACGATCGGCGGTATAGGCTATGCGTTACAGCCCTCGCAATATATACTGCGAGAAACGGTACTGTTTGTGGAGATTTGTTTATCGAGTTTTCAGGGTCAGAATAGTTCCCTGTGGATACTCGGGGACGTTTTTATCGGTGCATATTACACCGTGTTTGATTATGGTAAAAAGCGGGTGGGATTTGCTACGACCGTGAATTGATGTTTTATTTACTAACTAATTTGTAAAAAAAACTTCTATACCTTTTAATAATTTGATTATATAATACAAACTTATTACGTACTAAACACATTAATTTTTTAATTTAATTATTGAATGTGATTATTTTATTATAAAAATATATATAATTATTTCTGTACGTCTTTATTATTATTTGTTGTTGTTTCATAAACCGTAATTTTGAATTTTTATTTATTAGATTATAATTAATAACAAAATGTTTTAAATAAAAATGGTTAATTCAGTAATTTGTAATTAATTGTTTTGCATAATAATAATAATCAGATTGACATTAAATTTATAAATATAAATTAATTTACATAGTGTAATTTACTTATGGTTGTTGAATTTATAATAAATTACTTAATAAAATAAATTAATGTTAAGAAATTTTTAATAAACTACATTCAACAGTAGAGAAGTCAACAAGCATTTAATTCATAAAAATGTGCTTGTTAATTTATTACAAATACAAATAAATCGGACGGCCACTTGTCTTATGCGGAGCGGGTGTTGTTGTAGTAGTAATAGTAGTAATTGTTGTTGTTGTGAGTGCTGTAATGCCGGTCATATTGAATTCACAAGTAGTATTGTAGGGGTAATTGCGGCAAAAGTGAAAACCATGGTTCCTGGTTGTTTTGTTAAATTGAATTTCAAGAAATTCAAATGTTTTCGGCAGACAGTTGTTCTAGATAATATACGATAATTATATATAATTAAATCAAAATAAATGTTGCTACATAGTAGATATTATATTGCATAAAGGCATAAATTCAATTTATACTGCACCTTTACTTCTAATCTGGTGCAATTAATCAATTGCCAAAAACCGCAACATGGTGATTTGTCGGCAGTGCTGGTAATTGTTGTTTGCCAAAAATCCTCGACGAAATTTGTGGGATAAGTCAATACAGTTGTGGCCAAACATCGTCTCAGTTGTATGTGTATGTTTGATCCGCATACTTTTACCATAGTTGCTTTAGCATCTTGGTGAAAACCAAGCACATTTACGTTAGTTAAGTAAATGATAATTAAGGTGGTAAATATAGTAATTTTAGTATTGCTTTTAGTATCCATTTTATAAGATTTGATTAATAATTTTAATTAATATATTAATTAGCATTTAATGAACTTTTTATTGATTTAATTAAAATTATTATTTTAAAGAAGTAACTTTATTTGAAACTTTTGCACAAATGGTAAGAAAACACACAAATCGTGTGTATTTGATGTGAGTTTACATTTTTGTATTGACTGATTGTATGTGTTGTAAGTCTGGGACTTACATAGCGTGATAATTGGGTTACTTTGATGTCCAGTTTATTCTGGGAATATGTGTACAGTATATGTGTAATTGTAGACAGTGTTTGTGTTTAACATACTGGTAGTTAAAATAAGGTTAACCTATTTTAAATATAACTTAAAATTAAAATGAATTAATTTTACAATTAAATGAAATATATATTCTAGGTAATATTTCATTTTACCTTTACAAATATTTATTAAAATTTTAAAATCATAATAATATTCAAAGCATTGTTTAATAATTGTTTACAAAAAAAATTACTGATTTATTTTATTAATGTTTTTAGGTATATTAAAAATATTTGTAAACAAACTTATATACGTTTTAATAATTTGATTATATAATAGAATATCTTAAAGTATTAAACACATTTTTAACAACAATTTATGTATTATGCCCTTTCTCTCCACCCACATCTTATGAGATTTTAAATTTAAAATTATTTAAAATGATGTTTTTATAATAATTATCTTTTGTTTTATAAACTGTAGTTTTAAATTTTTATTTCCTAAGTTATAATTAATTGCAAACATTTTATATAAAGAAGGTTGTTTAAAAAATCGTTAGTTTATTTGTATAAACATTGTAAAAATCTTATATTTATAATACACTTACATTTTGTATTATAATAATTACATTATTAATTTAACACATTAATATTTATCAATAACTACAATATGGGCACATTAAATAAACACATTTAATTTCGCCAACATGGCATTTAATGGTAAGTATTTACTTATTACATGAATATCTATATGTACTGTATATTACTAACATTATATTAATAAACAAACCATCTAGATTTATTCCACATCATTACAATTATCATAATCATACAAAATGATCATGGTCAATGCGGCGATTGTCCCGAACCGCACACAATCGACCCGTGCTTTTGTCTGGAGAATGTGTTGTCAATCATATGCTACGAAACGCCGGGTGAGCTAAACCTACAGACTATATTCGCTAATATGAGCGCTGAATTACACACAACGGGCAAATCACTGGCATTTAACCAGTTTGTACTGTTTGAGTCGACTATACCTGAAATACCTGCTAACATATTTTCATCGGTCACATTTACCGGGGTACATATTGAAAACTGTTGGCTATTGACCCGGATTCATTCCGGCGCGTTCCTGGGCACCGGGAACACCCTGGAAAGTGTCAACATTACCAACACTGGGCTCCGGGACGCCGACCCTAGTGTTTACCCCGATTATGACGTATTCAAAGCACTCAATTCATTACAATGGCTGCGATATCTGCACATAACCAACACATCGTTGACCGCAATTCCGGCAAACGCTTTGACTTCTGTACACAATTTGCTGGAAATTCACGTCAAGAATAACCCGTTGTTAACCCGTGTGGAGACAAATGGGTTTAAAAATTTACATAATTTACAGCATTTATCTTTGAGTGCAAACAAAATACAGTTCATCGCCGATAAGGCCATTAATTTTGAGCGTAACTCAAATATGAAATTGTATTTAAATCTAGTTAATAATAATTTTGATAATTCTACAATTAGGCTAGAGGTGTTTAATGGGCTAAGTAAACGGCATAGACCTATCACAATTGATCTAGATCAAAGTGCGCTTGACAAACTCAACGAGACAGAATATCGTAGGTTTTTGGCTATTAATATTGAAAATAAATTTTATGTTAATGATATTAGTTGTTTCCCATGTAATAACGCATGGTTAATAACACATGATAATAAGTCATATGTTACGCGTAATATGGCCGATCAATGCATGCTCAATTAATATTATAAATTCAATTTAATAATTAATAATAAATTTATTAAAATGTCATTTAATGGATTAAGCAGCATGACATTAATACATTTACCGCGCTTATTGTCAATTATTAAATTATAACATAAATATTATAATAAATTGTGTTTTAAAACAATTGCATATTGTTGTATTAAATAATTAAATTTTATCATTATCCAATAAGACAATTCATAATAAAAATAATTAAATTAAAGCAATTTAATGATGAACTCAATAAAATTTGTCAAAACATTTACATAAAACATATTTAGAAAAATTATAAACATTTTAAAATAATCAAAGAATAGTAATATTTTGCGCTGAATTATAACTTATAATAAAACATGTTTGAAAATAGCAAACAACATGTATTGTAAGTAAAGTTTGTTTCGTTATATTGTTCTAATACCTGTCATATCTATACATTGTATAAAAATATTAAAGCAGCTCATTTAATATAAATTTATCGATAATTGTAATAATTTGGCAATTTAATATACAAAAATGACATCACTTGCAACAGTAATTTTATCAACTTGTATACTATTAAGCATATTTGTTGCTACAACCAATGGCTTAGTCCGTATTAAGTTATATAATCACAAATTAATAATAGCTAGAGCTACTGGAGCGAACCCATATCCTGTGCCAATCGACAACTTTATGAACACTTAATACTACGTAGAGATAACACTGAAAACTCCACCGCAAAAATTCAAGGTATATATTTTGCCCATTATTAATTCTTTTTACCATGTTTCTCAAGTCACTTCTCAAAAATATGACAAATATTGCTTGAATATTAATTTATATCAACACTTTTAGCCATAATTATATTAACACAAATAAGCCATGAATTAACTGTTTATTATAAACTAACTAGTTATAAGTAGTAATTACTATGATTCAAATGATTTTTACTATGAATGTATGTATTTTGACAATACATGTAAAGCGCTAACGCTTTAATACAAAACAATTTAAATTTTTTATTAAACATACATAAAGTATGTATGTTTAATATGTATCTTTACATGTATCTAGGTATTATTTGATACGGGCAGCGCTAACCTAATTGTACCATCGGCAAAATGTTCGTCGGTCGCGTGTTTTCTACACGCAAAATACTCGTCAGACTATTCGTCGACATACGTGGCCAATGGCGCGCCGGTCACCTTACAGTACCGCACCAGTAATCTTACAGGTATACTGAGCACCGACACACTCACCATTGGGGGTATTGCGCGTATAAAAAACCAAACTTTTACCGAGTACACTCGGGAGCCGGGGCTCGCGTTTGCTTACACCAAATATGACGCCGTTCTGGGGCTGGCATTTCAGGCACTAGCCATAGACAATGTGGT